GCTCTCCGCGCCCCTGAGGGCTTGTCTCCCGCGCTGGACAGGCAGCGAGGAGCGAACTGTTACTCGCAGTGCCATATGGCAGGGGGAGCTGCGCTATCTGCGTGTGCCTGTGGCTGCAGGGTTGGACAGGCTTTCTGATAAAAAACCAAAACCGCGGTCCTTGCCAGCAGTAGTGGGTGAAAGAATATGGCCAGAAATATGGATGGGGAAAGCACTGTAATTATCCAGCTCAGAAGGCTGTGTGTTCCAGCAAAAAGTGCTTCTTGAGAATTTGTCTGGACAATTATCTTACTTGGTTTGCTGATTAAACATTTGTGGTGCTTGTAATTGCACACACAAACTCAAGCCTGAAACAAAACAGCACCAGAAATGAATTAAAGGGTAGTATGAGATCAGTTGGGTGTGAATCAGTAACTCAATTTAAAAAGGTGACTTGACTCTCAAGTCACTTCACTGTAGGTTGGGTTATTTTTTCCCCTTGTTTAATTCTGGACGCTCATGTTCCTGTGGCTTCATCATTCATGTCTGACAGGTTTTTCTGGAAGCAGTTAAAGCCTGAGTCAGGGAATCAGTGCCCTGGGATTTTTTTCAGTCTCTCTCTTTTATCTGAGTCTTGGAGAGTTTTCTGTATGATAACTTCACTTTTTATACCTTCCTCTCTGAACTGAAGATCTGGCCCTACAAAACATCAGAAACTAGCTCTTGATGTTTAGATCAAGTTTTTTTATAAAAGTGGAGCTGTTACTTGTGTTATGTTTTTGGTAGTACTGCTGCATCCTCAAGTTGGAAGGAGCCATTGCTGGTATTAGGGTACAGAGTGTTTGTTCAGCTACCTATATGGTTTTTGGTTTTGTTTTTCCTTTAGGCTCTTTTACCTATGGCAAATGTGGCCATGATTGACTATACCTTGGAGTTCCTAACAGCAACAGGAGTGGAAGAAACCTTTGTTTTCTGCTGTTGGAAGTCAGCTGAGATAAAAGAGCATTTGCAGTAAGAATCTCTTCTTGCTTTTAGCTTTATAATGGACTCTTCGTTAGGAACTGCAGTGATAGGACAAGGGATAACAGATTCAAATTGAAAGAGGGGAAATTTAGGCTAGGTATGAAGAAAAAGATTTTTCCTGTGAGGGGGGTGAGACACTGTCCCAGGTTGCCCAGGGAGGCTGTGGCTGCCCCAACCCTGGCAGTGTTCAAAGCCAGGTTGGATGAGGCCTAGAGCAACCTGGTCTAGTGGGGAGGTGTCCCTGCCCGTTGCTGGGGGTTGGAACTAATTGATCTTTAAGGTCCATTCCAACCCCTAAATTTCTGTGATTCAATGATTGTGTGAAAGGATTCTTCTGTCCTCCAACAAGCCTCAAAGGCTTCACTGATCCTTCTGATGAAAACTGTGCAAGAGATTCCCTTTCAGCAGTGGTCTCCTAGCTTATCTGAAACAAGACCATTCCTCCTCTGAAGGAGTGTGGCTGTGCAGTGTATTAAAGGGTTGAGTGTTCTGGGACTGCTTAGTTCACTTGCTGTGAGCAGACAAGCACACTTGAGCCTGTCGATAATCAGCTCACTGTGACAGGATCCTCCTTTCATCCCCTTACAGGTGTGGCATGCACTGGGGCACTGAGTCCTAGTGTGCTCTCTGTAGGAACAGCCTCTTTATGCTCTCCTGATGTTTTTCCTCCCCCCAGAAAGTCCAAATGGTGCCGCCACACGTCTCCCAACACGGTGCGCTTCGTCACATCCGACCTGTACCGCTCGCTGGGTGATGTGCTCCGAGACGTGGATGCCAAGTCCCTCGTGCGCTCCGACTTCATTCTCGTCACTGGAGATGTGGTGTCCAACTTCAATATATCCAAAGCCCTGGAAGAGCACAAGTAGGTGTTGAAACAGCCTGGTGTGCTGAGGCTCTGGGCTGTGGCTCTCTGAAGAGTGATCTTAAAGTTGTGCCTTTCTTTTTCAGGCTGCGCCGCAAGATGGAAAAGAATGTTTCTGTGATGACGATGATATTCAAGGAGTCCTCACCTGGCCACCATGCCAGGTGCAAAGAGGATGACATTGTTATTGCTATGGACAGTGCCACAAACCGTGTCCTTCACTACCAGAGGACCCAGGGGTTGAAACGATTTCGCTTTCCTATGGTGCGTCTGGAGCCTGACGGGTGGAAAAGGGCTGTGGTGGCAAAGGAGCTCACCCAAGGAGGAGGTTCTCCTTGAGCTGTGCTTGCTGCTCCTCTTGGAGGAGCAGGTGATAGGAAGTAGCTTGTAGTAAACTGGATTTGTTTTCCTCAACCTTTATTTGAGGCTTAGTGGAATCATGCTGGAACACACATGTCTGGGACCCATTTGAAAATGGGGCATATGTATTTCCCACAGTTCAGGTTTTGTCCTTTGTCTCCTTTCCACCATGTAAAACAAGGGAGGCAGATGAATTCTGCTGTCCCAGGGGCTCCCAAATTGGGATACATATACCACTATTATACACAGACTCTTTTCACAGAATCATTTAGGCTGGAAAAGATGTCTGAGATCATTGAGTCCAACCTGTGGCCTAACACCACCATTTCAACTAGACCATGGCACTAAGTGCTACATCCATCCTGTCCTTAAACACCTCCAGAGATGGTGACTCCACCTCCCTTGGCAGCCTGTTCCAATGCCTGACAGCCCTTTCCTTTTTGAAGTGTCATGGATCCTGCAACAGGAGAAAAAGTGATTGTTGGAAGTACAAGGTGTTTCTTGGAGAGCTGTACTGAGCAAGGGTGTGGGCAGTCTCTGCTGGCTGACACTCAGCTCTTTGTGTGACTAGGCTGTGCCTGCTATTCTTGGATGTGGTGTAGATTATAGATTTCTCTGATCTTCAGAACTTCAGCTAGTTGAATAATTTGGTCGATACTTTCCCTGGCTTATAGAAGGCTCTTGGTGTTTGGTATTGCTTGAGGCACTGAGATCATCTGAATTTTTTCCTCTTTCAGAGTCTGTTCCAGAACTCTATTGAGAATGTTGAGGTGCGCCATGACTTGCTAGATTGTCATATCAGCATCTGCTCTCCACAGGTGAGCTCTGCTCTTCTGAGGGTCCAAAATTCAGTCTGCATTGTTCCGTTTGTACTGCTGGTGTGCAGGGGGTGCATGTGGCCTGAGTCCTAGGTTTGGAAAACAGAGCTTTCAGTGACTGAGCTGAGATCATGTGGTGCTGCTCCGTGAAACATGTGAGTGCTTAGTCTGTGTCTGGCCCCCACTGCTAGAGCCCAGGCAGAACTACAGAGTGGATGCATCCAGAGCCTGGCTGATTTGGCACAGAATGAAACTATTCCAGAAAATAAGTGGGTCTAGTAACATCTGTGGAGCAGAGGTTGATGGACGTGTTATGGATAAATATCACTACTTGCAAGCTGGTACCAGGTTCAGGTAACATTCAGGGTTATTGCTGCTGAGGCTCTCTAACATCTCTTCCACATCTGATAAAGCTGTCTGCAGCCTTCCTTTGGGAGTGAAGCTACAAAGTGAGACTGGGCAGATTGCTTGGAAATGTTAAAGCAATGTTTTGCACCTTTTGAAAACCAGAATCTGTTCATGGATTCTGGAGGAGGAGGAGGAGATGGGAAGGTCAGCATTCCTAGGAGAAGGAGTCAGAGCTTTATTCAAGGCAAGAGCATCACTTTCCTATATTGTATAACTTGGTTTTCTGAGAACCACCCAACAGCCATTAATTATCTGGCTTCCTGGCAACATTTTCTCTAACTGCATTATTTCCATATGTTTTATTCCTGGCAGGTGGCTGAACTGTTCACAGACAACTTCGACTACCAGACACGAGATGACTTTGTGCGTGGTCTGTTGGTGAACGAGGAGGTGAGGAGAGGGTTATTTCAAGGGAGATCCTATGACCTTGCCTTAGAGAATCTTCTGACATGGTCCTGCCCATCTCTCAGGTCCTGGGGAACCAGATCCATATGCATGTAACGACAGAAGAGTATGGTGCTCACATATGCAACCTGCTGATGTACGAAGCTGTGTGCTCCGACATCATCCGGCGCTGGGTTTACCCTCTGACTCCAGAGATGAACTTCACTGATGACAAGAATCAGAGTTACACCCATTCTAAACACAACATTTACCGAGGGGTGGATGTTAGCCTTGGCCACGGCAGTGTGCTGGAAGAGAACGTACTCATCGGGCAGGGAACGGTCATTGGCAGCGACTGCAGCATCGTAAACAGCATCATTGGGCAGAACTGCAGGATAGGTGAGTACAAGAAAGAGGGGATGTTCAGGCCTGGCCAGGCTAGGGCACAAGTCGTTGGGATTTAGTGTTTTAAAGTGCGTTTGGCACTGAGTGAGGATGATAGGTGGGTACTGATTGACTTCTCATGGAAAGAAAGGAGAAAAGGTTGGTTTTCCAGTAGAGGAAATAGATTGAAGTTTTCAGGGTACCATAATGAAGCTGAAAGGTGAAAAGTACTTCATGCAGATAGATTGTTATAGCAGTAGAGAAACATAGATTTTTTTGTGGGTTGGAATGGACCTTACGGATCATCTAGTCCCAACCCCCTGCCATGAGCAGGAACACCTCCCACCAGACCAGGCTGCTCAGGTCTTTATCCAGCCTGACTTGAACACTGCCGGGGTTGGGGCATCCAGTACTTCCCTGGGCAACCTGTGCCAGTGTCTCACCACCCTCACAGGAAAAATTTTGCTAAGTCTAGAGTTACCACTCCCCAACATCCTGCAAATGAGAGACATATGTCCCCATTTTTGTGAGCTGTTTGGTGCTTCTTCCTAGCCTTGGCTGGATTTGTTGGGGTTTTTTTGGTGAGTTGGCTGTATTTATCCAAAACTGAGATATCAGTTGTTACACTCAACTTGTTAAGTCTCTGTAAAGAACAAACTTGTCCATCAGCTTTGGGTAAGAAGTGGCTGTAGGCCAATTTTTCCTTGTTATCTAACATGCAGCAAGGGCATTAGGATTCAGTAGGGTGCTTTCTAGTGGACTCAGCAGTGCGGGAGAGCAGCAGACTGTCAACATATTTGTACTTGGTGATGTATAACAGGTGATAAAGTCACTTTGGATGGAGCTTTTCTGTGGGACAGAGTACACATAGCAGATAATGTGGAGATCCGACATTCTGTTATCTGTGATGAAGCCGAAGTGAAGGAGAAAGTAAAGCTAAAGCCCCACTGTGTCCTCTCTTCTCAGGTGAGCTGATTTATGTCTGTTCTGCTTTCTGCCTTTCTTGGCACATTTATGAACTTACACTAGATCATACCAGAATACAGGACTGCTCCAAGCCTTTTCGCAGAGGTGAGGGATATGCTGCTGCTCCCACCTTCTTTTCCCCCTTCATTTGGCTAGGGCAGTGTGGGCTCTAGCAGTGCTGATGTCTTCAGTTATATCTGTTAGTAAGAGCCTGTCTGGAGCAGCTGTTGTCCCTGCTGGTGGAGGTACAAAGGGGCAGTCAGGGTGTTTTGTCATTAAGATATGTCACACATATTTGCAGGTAGTAGTAGGTCCTGGCATCACTCTCTCTGAGGGCACAGTGATCTCTCTGCACCCCCCAGATGAAGAGGAAGAGGACGATGACCAGTTCAGTGATGATTCTGGTGTGAACAAGGAGGAGAGCAAAGTGAAACTGAAAGGTATGAGACTCTCTGACTCCATGCAATAAGGCTGTGCAGAGGGTTTTTCCTTCCATGATCTTTTGGGGTCTTTCCCTCCCTCATTCTAGACCTGTCATGCCAGGCTAGAGCTTAGTGCTTCATTCAGCTTGGAATCTGTGTGTTTTCATCAGGGCAGGCAAGGATATTCAGCTCAAAGTTGAACAATGAGATGTACCCCAATATTAAAATCTTTGGAGACTCGGGATACAGTAAGATCAGATTGGAAGAGGTGTTCACTTGGAGGCAGGTTGCAAGATGGATGTCCTTGTATCTGGACTGTGTCCAAGGATTTTGTCCTTGTAAAGTGCTGTTTCTACCAGTTTGGGTTTGTTGAGGGATCTAAACGTGATCAGCTGAATGTTGCTGCTGTAGGGAGGAGTAAGTCAGTCACTTGTCAAGGCAAGTGAGAGGAGAAAAGCTGAAATCCATATGCGTCTGCGGGAATCCCATCTCCTCCTTGAATAAAGATATTTAGGGGCAGGAATATGCAGGTTTTACCAGTCTTATTTCAGGTTTGCCTGTAAGCATATTCAGTACATCCACATTCTGATTGCTGATTCTTTTTCAGGTTACAATAAAAAGGATGTAGGCTCAGAGGGCAGAGGCTATCTCTGGAAAGCAGATGACAAGAATGAAGAGGATGAAGAAGAGCAGAGACAAAGCCTATGGGGTGAGGCAGTTTAGTGTGGTCACCTGGGAATGAACAGACAGACCTGTGCTGGGAAAACTGGCCAAGTGGGATGCTCATAATTGTGTCTAGAACAAGATTTGAGCTTTGTGAAGCAGACATGCTCCAGGTAACGTGTGTGGAGGCAAGGTGAGAGGTGAAAGCAGGTGATGAACCAAATTATGTCTCTTCCAGTGCTCTGTGGAAGGTGTTTATTAGATATACTTAAGTTGCTCCAACACACAGCTGCCTGTGCTGTGAGTGCTGCACTAGGGGATACCAGGCCCTCCCTTAGAGGGAATATGCCTTGGCTATTCCGGGTGCTGCTGGCTTTCTTCCTACTGGTGACAGTGTCTGCTGACATTGCTCCATCGTGAGTCAGCAGTCTGCACAAAACGCATTTGCTGCTGTCCCTGTCCTTTGTTGTCAGCCTGCAGACTCCCAAAAAATCCCATTATCCTAGTGCCAGCTGTAGCATTCTCTCTGCAGCAAATCTAATCATCTGGACCTGTAAATAGAAGCAAGGACAGATAGTTGCTGACTTGGTTGGGAAGTCCCTGGCTCCTCATGCATAAGATAGTTGCAGATTTTGAGTGTGGAATGCTGCATCTTCTCTTCTTCCTCAGGCCCAGTTATGCATTCAGAGGAAGAGAGCGAGTCAGACAGTGACCTGAGCATGGGCTCTGAGGAGCCAGACAGTCGGGCAGCATCCCCTCAGCTGGATGACATCAAAGGTGAGAGATGGGCTGTTAGGAAGTATGGTGACTCTGCAGATAATGCAGCAAGTGTGAGATTTGTGCTGCTTTCTCTGAGTATATTGGAAAATGTGTGGATGTCTACAATATGTTGTTTCCTGACCTCACTTTCTACATTTCCTACAGAGTTCTTTAATATCCCCTGTATCACTGTTGTGTTAACTCAAGGCAGCCAGGGATGAGAAACTAGACAAAGATCCTTCATCTTTCTCACTCCTGATCACTGGGCCATCGTGAAAGGGACCTGCCTGAGTTGTTTGACTGAATGGCAGTGTCCTTGCCTAAACTCAGAGACTATGGGAAGGTCCAGCAGGGTTTTTCAGCTTAGTGCTGTAATCATGCTGGAGAATTAAATGTCCCTGTAGGAGCTGCCTCTTTTTTCAGAGATGTTTTGGTTTTCTGTTTTGTTGTGTTGAGCTTACCTGGATTCTAAAGTGGTTAAATCCAAATTGCAAAAGGAAAAAACCCAACCTTTTTCAAGCTGGAATATCTCCCCAAAGGAAATTAAACCAATAAATTTCAGGTTTGAATTCATATCTTATGGGAAGATGAGGTTGTCTGAATAGGAAGGGCTGGATTGTGAAAGTATAATAGAAACTCTGCTCTAAAAGATTGCAGCTTTGTACTGGTTTCTGTTGATAGATCAATGATGTCCAGCAGGTAGTTTCATTATTTTGAATTCCACTATTTGAGTATAGTTGCTGTGGGTTTGCATCAGCTTATGGAGAACAGGTACCTGTGAAAGAGATAAAGATACCTTTATGTGAAAGCAATAAAGAGAGAAGGATGTCCATGTCAGAATGCTTCCTTTGTGGAGGGCATAGTTTCTTCAGTCAAGAGCAGTTTGAAGAACCTGTGCTTTTCTCTCACATCTAACTGCCTGACCTTTCTTTCATTAGTTTTCCAGAATGAGGTTCTGGGTACATTACAGAGGGGTGAAGAAGAAAACATTTCCTGTGACAACCTGGTCCTGGAAATCAACTCCCTCAAGTGAGTGTTCCCTGAAGGGTACTGTCCCTTACGCTGAACACTTGGGTTTGACAGCAGACCTAGAAAGAAGAGGAGAAACCATGTGAATGCCCATGTTTGATTGTTAAACATTAATTGTATCAGTATAGAGCATGAGAGATGCAGCTTAGGGATCATGACTGAATGACAACAGGAGTTGATGGAGAGCACCAGCTGCATCTCTAACATCCTTGGTGGTTAGGCTTTTCCTGCCCCAATTCTGTAACAAGAGATTGAATGGCTGTTAAGTAACTGTGGACCGAAGAGAGCAAGCCAGTTCTTGGCACGAGTGCCTGTAAGCTCACGTTGGGGCTGCTGCTCTGTGCATTGCAGCATTCAGCCAGCTGCCTGCAGCTGGGTCTGTGCTGTGGTGTGGCTTGTCCACAGTTTTTGCAGCAGCAAGTCTAGAACACATAATAATCAGAGTGCCTCCTACCAAATGTTTCTCAAATCCAAACCTGCTCCCTTTCTTTTGTGCAGCAGTGTTCCTGCAACATTCTGGTGAATGTGAGGGTGCTGTCCCTGCAGCAGCTCATTCCACTGTGATAGCAGATCTTCAGCACTTGTGGCCTTATGCAGGGCCTGATGCAATACAAGGTGGTTTTATTGCCTGAATATTTGAAAGAAACAGCTAAACAAATAAAAAGCAATTCAGGAAGATGAAAATCAGGTTTTCTGCTGTGTCTCTGTGAAGGGCCACAGTCTGCAGAGATCACAGTGTGAAATGTTGGGGATTTTTGCCTTTTCCATTGTAGGTATGCATATAACATTGGCCTGAAGGAGATGATGCAGGTGCTCAGTAAAGTGATCCTGGAGTTCCCACTACAGCAGCTGGACGCAAACCTGGACTCCCAGAACTATTTCTCAGCATTGCTTCCTGTGAGTCTTGCTGCATTTGACTCTTCTTTGGGCTTGTCTCCTAGTGCATAGCAGTCTCTCTGTGTGCCCCAGGTAGTTCCTGGCTGAGTAGTCTCTTGGGTTGACCCTGAGGGCACTGGAACTCCTTGACTTCATGAACCTCTTTGTCTTCTATAAATGTAAAACTGAACTGAAACTATTGTACTTGCTTGACAGAACTTGGCTGACACTGTCGGTGTGGGTGCTCTACTTCAGTACCTGTGATTGTTTCTGTTTCCTGTGATAGTTCAAGTGCATCACTTGTAGAAGAGAAGACAGAAGGTCTGTTAGAGAAGTTTTTACAGGCTTGCATTCTGGGAACCTGGTTCCAATCCATCTCAAGCCCTGTCTCTGGGGCATCAGGGAGTGCTGTTCTCCCAGTGGGATCCTTTCCAAGGTCTTACTTGTCTACATACTATAACTGGTGCCAATTTTCTTTTCAGCCTAATGCAAAGGCACAATATTGTTGTCGTCGTGTGGAGATACAGTTCTGCTTTGTCTCTAGAGAGATGGGTTGTATAATTGAGTGAGACCAATTTCAATTTCCTGGCTTATGGGAGACGAAATAGGGTAGGATCTGCTTTAAAAAGCTGACAGTCTTGTCTTAATAGTTTTGTTGATCCAAGCTGAAGTAATTGTAGTATTTTTGTCTCTTCCTTATAGCCCATTTATGTAGTTGACTTTGCAAACCACAGATTATGAAGATGGTCTTTCAGAATGAATGGGTCTGACGTGTTTGGGAAGGACTACTTCAAGGGTTTTTTAGGAGATTGAGCTGAAGAAGAACACTAGACATCCTCATAATCCTTTATCTGAGGAAGTATTTGCTTTCAGTTGATTGGGAAGAGTGGAAAACTAATTCTCGTTTGTGTAGGTGTAAGCATGGCACTTAATTCACCTTCTGGACATATGGTGATGCCATCTGCAGAGAACATCCTTGTGAACTGATCTGTACTTCAGATGGCTTAGTGAGATTTTGCTGTTCACTCTGTTTAAATTCTCCTTGCTTTTGGTCATTTTCCAGACTGTTTTCTTGAATAACATGCCCTGTCCTGAAAAAATAGAATTGAAGGAGGAGGACTAAAGGGAATGTTAGAGCAGGTGTTAGATTCTAAGTGGAAAGCAGTACATCTAGACAACAGCTTGTGTGGATTTGGTAGCTGTAGGGTGTTTGTGTTCCTAACCAAGCTTGAGTAGGACAGGAGAACTTCCCTGCAGCACAGTCAGAAGAGGTTCTAGTCTGGGATAAAGGATACTATATAAAAGCATAAAGTTTTGTCTAATTCCCCAAACCCCTTAGAAGCGAAAGACGACAGATGGACATGAAGGACTTACCTCCGCGTAACTTTGTCCATATGTATTTCATCAAAGGAAAGCTGATGCTCATGTTTAACAGCAGAAACAGCAAATCAACTCACCTTTAGCTGTGCAGCTAAATCTGCCTCTGGCAATAGCAGTATTGGGCTGAGATCTGCTTGTAGATACAGCAAGGTATTACTTTGTGTGAGATGCATTCTGAGAGTCATGGGCATCACAAACCCACTGAACCTTACAGAGCTGTTTTATGTTTCTCACTCTCTTTGGAGCTCAATTTTGACCAAGAGATGCTGAAGGAAGTTGGGTTGCCTATGTAAAATTGATGTTAGAGCAGTCCCAGACAGCTCAGGAGGGGAAATTGTGGAAATGCCATAGTTATGATGCATGGTTTGACTTGAAACCACAGTATGTGCTCTGAAGTGCTGGGCCTCAAACATGAAGCTCTGAAGTGTTGCAGCAATTTTAGGAAACAAACATCTGGTACAGGATATGCCCATGGCTATTTATTTTTTCAGATGGAAACATGGAGGCTTGAGAAATAGAGGTATCTAGTTTGATGTATGTCGGGCACCTTGTTCAGCTCTTGTACAAGTTGTAAAGCAGAGATGGTGCAGAAATAGACCTTTCCTAGAACTGTAGACAGGGATTCTGCAATGTGCAGGAGAACACAACATGGGATTGCTTGTTCAGGGACCACATGGATCTCTGCTTCCACTGAAGTGATTTATGGTGATCAGCACAGATGCTGTTGTGCTGTAACAGGTTGAAATTATAGTTTTGTCTGTCATGTTTTGCATGTGCTTCATGATGGTGTTCTGTGCTGGTGGTAGGTGTAAATGAGTCTTGCTGTTGAGATGTCCTGCTGACAAGAGAAATGTATCACAAATCTCTTTGAAGTTGTTACACCATCACTGACCAGATTTGATGACTCAGCCTGTCAAGAGGGATTTGATTGCTTTCTCCAGACTGTAGATTTTGTTTGAGAAGTTACCCTCAAGAGTCAAAGCCTGAAAAGTTATGACATTGTCCATGGAGCTCTGTCAGGTATCTTTTCAAGATGTTCAGTGTTTTATTAAATTTAAAATAATTGCAGACTTCTAATTCCCCAACTGAGAGTTTCATGAAATTCCCAAAACAGCCTCTCTGGACATACACATTCAGAGAGTGTTCTTGCTGGGGCCTTTGTGGGGCTGAGCCCTACTTTTCCCATTAGCACCAGTTACAGTGCACTGCATGTTCTTGACCTGAGATGGTATATTTTTTCTTCTTTCCCTTTCCCAGCAATAGGCACACTGGATTGAGTCCCAGGGTTCTGAATGTTTATAGCTCTTCTTTATTTATAAATATAACTTGCTTTCCAAAACTCAACAGCTTCTGTTTAGATTTGTGCTAACTTATGATTTAAAGGTGTTAGCAGAAAGATGTTGCAAAGTGTTTCTTAGCCTGGAATGAACTTGATAGTAGCTTTATTACATTTGAGGTGAAGATTCTGAAGTATAATAAAAATGCAGGAGATGGTAGAGGAGGGAAGAGTGTTTGGGATTATGCATTTTGCTAAAGGCTAAAATACTTTCTGGAAATATGCCACAGAACCCTCAGTGTTTAGTTGTGATACCATGATGATTAGGATCATTCTGTGCTGTTATTGTTGTTCTTGAGCCAACTGATGTACTACTATACAGATCAGTTTGTTTATACTAATCCCCTTCTTTGTTTCTGCTTAAGGCATGCAAATTCCAGCATGGTTGCATAGCAAATGTGTCTGAAGAGGTGATGGAGTGTAGTACCAAAGTTAGATGAGCACTGTTTCCTAGCACAGGCTGCCTTTGGTAGTCCACACTAGCCTGGACTATCTCTGTAGCCTGGATTCTGTTTGTCCTGAAGCTCTTCCTCTGGTAGGGCTACTGCCTGTTAGCAGTTGTCCTGGACAGAATAATGCTGATTAATCCTGAATTTAGGTGGCTCAGAGTTTCTTCATCACACCCCAAGCCCCTTTGAATTACCTGTATCCCTTCAAAACAGACCATATGTGTTCTGTAAGGAGACACTGCTGAAAGAACAGAAAAACAGTGTGTCAGTACAGGCCTGCCAGGAATGTAGCTTCAGGATCATCTGCTGCTGAATTACTTCATTTAAAAAGATGTGGAACTCTGATTTAATTTCCTACAATGTTTTTGTAGGATGGTCTGGTCATGATGTGGCCAATGAAGAATTTTTGTATTTATCCTAGTTCTGAGACCTTTTAAAATTGTTATGGACAGGGATCTGAGTATTTCTTTCAATCCCAGATTCAGGTCAGTCTGTGCTGCTTTGCAGAGCTCACTGCTGATACTTCCCAGATACATACAACAAGTGAAAGAGCTGTGGGGGACTCGGACAGAAATATTATTTGAAGGGGCAGCACCAAAACTATTAGTCTTAAGACTTCATAAAAAAATAAGCCTTGGAGGAGAGAACTGAGATCAGCTAATAGTGTAGCAACTTCTTGCCCTTCACCCTTCCCACCCATTTCCTGCAGCAGACTCCAGGATCCAAACAAGCCTGTAGGCACACAGCAAATGTGTGACTTGCACTTAGGGGCTGCTCTGCTGCCTTCCATTTTTAGGGGTGCTGTTTTGCACTGTTCACTCTACTCAGCTGGTAATTATCCTGGCACTATGTTTACTTATATGTTCTTCTACTTTGAAGGAGAATCCCACTGAAATACCAGCTGCCCTGTGGGGAGAAGCTGTGAGTAACATGTGTGTATCTCCCCTTCTGGTCTGCTGTGAAGTGATATTCTTTGTATACCAGATTCCATCGAACACAGTTACTGTGATGTTCTGGTACTCCATCCAGAGAGTTAAAACCAAGAAAACTAATGAATATCCTCAAAGCTGCTTAGTAAAACCACATTCTGTCTGCACATGTCAGACTTTATGGCATCTGTTTCATGGACAGAGTGGGACAATATGAGGTGGTCAGCTGAGTGGCTTCTCGAAATGTTCCCTGGGTCAGTTTCTTAGAGTGACACAGCTGAGAAACCGAGCTGAGAAACCGGGCTGAGTGCACACATCCATCTCAGCTCAGGAGCTGTCCTGTGTTTCCCCCCTGCAGCTGTTGAAGAACTGGACCCCATTGTTTAAGAACTACATAAAACGGGCATCAGATCACTTGAATGCCTTATGTGCCATTGAGGAATTCTTCCTGGAACATGACAGTCTCTGCACGTCGATAGCTAAAGTGAGTATCTACTCCCAAATCTAAGGACCTGATTTTGCTAGATGCATGGTGAAATGCACCTTATCCGCATCATCAGCTTGTCTGCTTTAGGAGAGAAAATTTTGGGGTCTCAGTGGAGAGGGTATGTAGAAAATTCATCTTTAACAATTTGTTTTTAAAATCCCAAGAAGTTCTGTGTCTGCCTGTGCCTCTGAGGGAGCACAGCTGAGGGTGGGTATTAATTACCAGCCTGTAGCCTGTGGGGAGCTGTTATTTTGCAGCTTCCAACCTAGATGCCCTTGTTGTGTGACACTGGAAGAGGCAAGGCCAGAGACTTGTTAAAGAAGAGCTTTACTTCACTGTCTCTCTCTGGTGCCTGGGATCTAACAGCTAAATGGTTTATCCTACTTCAGAGCACAAAGCAAGCAAAGCTGGGAATGAATAAAAGTGGGATTTTATTCAGGTTGAGCTAGTTATGAAACTGGAAGTAAAAGGAAGTTGACATGTGGCTTCTTACCTATCTCCCCACTTCTGAGAGTTTTCAGGACATTCCTCCTCATCTTCCTTCGCAAATATTTTGTCCTTGCATTATTTTTGCCCTATCACACTGAGAGCATTTGACTTGGATCACAAGTCTTTCCTTTAGCAATCACTCAGGAAGTCCCTGTCTCTTTTTGGAAGAGCTCTCCTAGCTTAAATATTGGTTCCTCAAGAAAAAGTAATCCTAACTTCTGCTACCAGTGCTTCTGGCTGATGGCAAAGCACTTAGGACTGGAGCCAAAAGCCTTCAGTTTGGTGAGCCAAAATGTCCTTGAATTACAGCAATTGTTTGGCATGTGTCCATTGTTCTAGGGGCCTGGGTTTCCCCAGAGGCTGGGAATTGAAGTGACACTTTATATTTGGAGTTGGCAGCCAGCTTTGTTAGTGCTCTGCTGCAAGGGAGATGAACTGCAAAGGGCCTGCTCTGCCTGAGCACAAAGGCACCCTGAGAAAGCCTGACTGGGTCTCCCCCTTGCTCACAGGTCAGGGCCTTGAGCGGATGAATGACCAATTGCTTTGACACCTGCCATAAGGCACTGCTGAGGGAGAGCTGGCAGGAGGAGGGAGCCTGGGGCAGAGCTAGATAGGTTCATGCTCTTGTGCATATGTGGACCTGCCTCAGTTGCTTGTTAGATCTGCTTTGGGGATGGGCTTTGGGTGGCTTTAGAACTGTCTTGAACTGCCATCCTCTGTGGCCTTTTGTTGCCCACAGCTCTCAGTCGTCCTCAGCATCCACAGAACTGAAGCTGATGGGGCTTGAACTTTGACTCATTATGTGTCTTAGTGTCTAACTGTCAGGAACATAAGGCTTGGTAGGAGAAGCATGGTTATTTTTAACAATATAAGGAAAACGAAGCAGACTGAGTGCCTTCTGTTGAAGATGGAGCTGAGAGACACAGATTATATGCAAACTTTGTACTTGGACACGAGCTATCCCCAAAAGAGTTCATGGAGAGCCTGTTGCTCTTTTCTGATCGATGCAGGTGTTGATGACATTTTACCAGCTGGAAATTCTGGAAGAAGATGTAATCCTTAATTGGTTCTCTTTGCGGGACACATCTGACAAGGGAAAGCAGCTCCGTAAAAACCAGCGGGTAAGTCCCAAAGGTGTTTGAAGAGGCACAGGGTGGGGGGAGAGAGACAACAGCTGCTGAAAGAGACGTTGAAGGCAGTTCCGTGCCACTGTCGCCTTCTGTGGAGCAGCTGCCATTATATGTTAGGCCAAGTAACACACGAGTGCGTTGAACACTAAGCAACACAACTTTGTTCACCAGAGCAGGCAGTTCTGTACATTGTCCTGTTTGGATGAGAAGTGGAGGTAGTGGGAGGATTGTTTTGAGTGAGCTCTCTGTAGCACGAGGCCAGCACTTTCTGGAGTAGCAGCACGGCTTCTCTAAGCCAACACCCATTTGAAATGGGCTGTAGGCCAATGCCCTGTGTGCTGGCCCCATGCAATTCCTTTGAAGCTTTCATTCCTGGCTCACCAGTCCCTTCACATATATTTCTAAGGGTTTGCTGTACTGAGTGGTTTCATTTGGCTTCTGTTGCAAGGAGCGTATAAACTTTTCCCCTCCATCAGGCAGAACTTTGTGCTGCAGTTTGGCTGAGCCTGTTCCAGTCTTCCTCCCTGGATCTGGAAGAGGATCAGGGGAAAAAAAGCCATCTCTGCAGAACAACTTTGTTTAAAACCTTTGCAAAGTCAGCTATTAGTATAGGTCAGCAGTGCTTTCAGCTGCTTATTTGGGTCCAGTTAAGAGGTAAAATGAGCTGCTTTCTTAATAGCAGCTTCTCACAGAGCAGGTTTTTTTCCCATCGGAGTTTTCCTAACGTGTTTTAGCTAAGGTGCAGCTGTCACCTCTTTGCCCTCAAGCTCTGAAAAACTAAAACTTCTGTCTTTTTGCTGAGTGTTGTGGGGATTACCTGACTGGAGGAATCTCCCTCAGGAATCTAATTGGTTTGTCCATGGCATCCTAGTTGGTTTTGATGTGTCTCTCTCCCTCAATCTGCCTCAATTTCTGTGTCTCCTGGAAACACTCTTTAAGGTGCAGCTGTCACCTCTTTGCCCTCAAGCTCTGAAAAACTAAAACTTCTGTCTTTTTGCTGAGTGTTGTGGGGATTACCTGACTGGAGGAATCTCCCTCAGGAATCTAATTGGTTTGTCCATGGCATCCTAGTTGGTTTTGATGTGTCTCTCTCCCTCAATCTGCCTCAATTTCTGTGTCTCCTGGAAACACTCTTCTCTTAACATGGTGTAGTTGAGCATTCCCAGCATCTCCTTTGTGTCAGGTGTTACCAATTACCTTTCTCTCTGCAGCTTCAGAAGTTTATCCAGTGGCTGGAGGAGGCAGAGGAAGAGTCGTCTGACGGCGACCAAGACTGATGTGGTGACTTGGCATGAGAAGAGGCTCTCACTGCCTTTCTGGGCCGAGTGGGCAGGGCAAGATCAATGCCAGTGCATGGTGTGTAGATGTGGGGCCTGACATCGAAGTGACTGACAATCCCATCCTTGATTCAGTTGTGTGTTTCCAACTTTGCCACTTCCCTCCCTCCCTCACTTGCACCTTATGTCAGATGGTTGCAACCCCATGTAAAAACCATAAGGGAAAAGCAGGAGGTGGTGATACCTAAAATCCCTCTGGAGCCTGGATATGATACACTATAAGCTATCTTTTGGGAGGTCCTTTTTACTAATACAAAGGGAGCAAATAGATGCAAATGCATATCACGCTGTTGTAGATCTAACCATCAGGGTTGTGGAAGAATGGTCATACAGCTAAGGTATTTGGAGTCGTTGCTTCTGGAGCTAAGAGAAC